ATTTTTCTTCATTTTACCCCACCACTGCCCTAGCTCCCACTGCTAGAGTGCTAGCACCCACCACCCCTACATCTTCCCCTATCGCCCGCCTCAATGCTGCCTTGGATCCCTCCGCCGACAGCTCTCACCAATATTGCCGCAGGTCCGTCTATGCTAGCCCTACAGTCACCGTTGAAAGAGAAGAACGAGTAAATAAAAGAACAACTAATATATAAAATATATTTTGTTTGATATTGTTACTATGTACGTTGTACGCAATACAATGTTATTTATTAGAATACCATTATCAAAGTGTGATATGTAATGGACAATACATGATAATAAAAATATATTTCATTTTATTAAATATACTCATAATTCATTTTTTTCTTCATAATGATAGTTTGAAATAACATTGTCCTTTTTATTACTATTAATATTAATGTTGTTATTATTATTTCATTATATTGAATTTAATAAAAAATATTGAAATTTATTTGAGACGGGTCGAGTTGTAGGCTGGATTATAAAATCCAAACCCAGCCCTATTTCCCAGCAACTATTTATAAGGTCCAAGACGGGCCCGTGCCCTAAAATATCAAGGGCAAGGGGGCAAATAGAAAGATGAGAAAAAGAAGATTAGGCACAGATCTACCGCTAGTTCAGAGATAAGTAGAGGGAGGTGGCTGGCCGAGAAAAAAATGAGATTTAATTAGGAAACATTATTTGAGAGTATTATCAAGAAAATTTATAAATTAAAAGAGAATGTGAACAGAAGGGTAAATTTTAAATTTACTGGACCTTGAGTATCCGGTTATTCATTTTGAAGTTTTTAAAACAGTATAATCCGTAAAAGACTTCTAGAATCATACGTATGATTCGAACTTTTAATGGGATTTTATCCGCAGTAAAATCGCTTTCAACGACTAAAAAGTAAAAAGAGAGCAAGAATTTCATGAACATGCAAACCATCCATTTTCCCATTCATCAAAGAACTCGGTAACAAACAGACCCCACACATCATCGAAATCAAACAGAACAGTAACAGAATCTCAAACACCAAGACGGATTACAGTATACCCCTTTAACATCAGAGCAATACCGCCTAACAGACCAAACGGAGGAACGTTAAAACAATGACCATGGATGAAATTGGACAAAAGCTCAATTCCTCCAGTTTCCGTCATCACCCCCACCCCTGCTGGAATAGCCGCCGCCGCCGCCGTTTCCATAGCCTCTATCACGGCCACCTCCATAGCCTCCTCCGCCTCCCTCACGGCGGCCACCACCATATCCACCGCCGCCGCCACCATAGCCTCCTCCGCCACCTCCCTCACGGCGACCTCCGCCATATCCGCCGCCACCACCATAGCCTCCACCACCTCCCTCGCGGCGACCGCCGTAACCTCCACCCCCTCCTCCACCTCCGCTGCGCGATTGGGCCTCGTTGACGGTGATGTTACGTCCGTCAAGGTCACTGCCGTTCATCTCTTCAATCGCCTGCCTCATGGAGCCCTCGTCCTTGAAGGTGACGAATCCAAATCCTCTAGATCTGCCCGTATCGCGATCATTGATGATCTGATTCAACAAAAAACAGAAACGATCGGAATCAGAACCAGCCAGATCTGATAGATCCGGATCAAAATCGCAAAATTCATAAACAAAAACGAATTGATTTATCGATATAGATATATAAACGCGTGCACGAAAACACAAAATCGATCGATCTTAACCTCTCTAGAGAAAGAGGAAGATGAACGTACCGTATAACGGGAAAGTAACAGAGTATCAAATAGTAACAGAGAGATAGACAAGAGTAGATGAATCAAGGCAAGTAACAGAGTAGAAGAACTAGTAACAGAGAGATCATGTCAACAACGCCGGATCGGGTCGAGACGAGATCCGACTGCTGCGCAGAGACTAACAGACCTTCGTTTCCACGATCCCATACTTGGCGAAGGCGTCATTGAGGGTGTCTTCGGTGGAGGCCCATGCCAAGCCACCGACGAAACATCTGTACTCCACATCCGCCATTTCTATTTCTATGATCTTAGAGAGCCGATGAGAAGGATGAATGAAGCGGTGGAGAAGATGATGGGGATAACGGGGAAGAAAGGTGTGGTTATATAGCTGGAGGAGAGTAGGTTTAGGGCTGGCTGATCACGGGCTCTCCATCGGCGCCCCATTGGGGCGTCTAACTCGGGGGTTGTGTTAGATTTTAACCATGGTTGGGAATTATTTAGGCCATGATTGGCATCTAGATCTGGGTTCCTTCATTCTCTATTTTCTCCATTTCTGCAACTCACTCAATTTGTGTTTTTAGTCAAATTGAAAGTATTTTAATCACTAATCAAACTAAACTTCTAACCAAAAAATTTTTTTGTGCTATTTATATAATGTAATTCTTATTTAGTTAAAGGTCAAAATTTATACAGTATCACTCGAAAAAATTAAATTATGCAAATACTCCCTCCGTCTCTCTTAGGCCTTTCCATTAATCTTTTTTATTTGTCATTTATAGATTTTTTAATTATTTTTTTTAACATTTAAAATATCACAATTACCCAAATTATTATTTTTACACCTCATTTAATACACTCCGTTCATTCTCATTAAAGATATTTTAGTAAATTTTTACTTTTTTTCAACTCTTATCAAAAATCACAAAAGTCAAAATGAGATTAGCATTTTGAAAAAGTTATCCAACGGTATTTTTTAGCTTTAACTTTTTCAGATTTAATCTGCACCATTAAAATTTTATTCAAAATGTAACATTAATCGAAAATGTTGTTCCCCAATAAGGTCTAAGATAAAATACATTTTAACTAAATTAAATATTATGGAGTATATATGTTGACTAATTTGCTCATTATAAAAACTGATAGAATATGGGAGACAAAAAAACATGCTAGAAGAACTAATTGCATTCACAAGTAATGGGAAAAAGAATTACTTCTTTTTTAACCTTGAAAAGGTCATTAAATTATATTAAAGGAGTCTAAGATAGTATTAGTAGGTTTCTAATTAGGTAAAACTCTATACACCAAAAGGTTATAAAAGTGAAAGTATAAAGGTATTCACTTTCAAAAAAAGCAAATGATTAACAAACACATGTTTATGACATTATTCAAAACCCTTTTAAACATTATTTAAAGAAATGTCTTTTAATTGTAGTTGTACTTGATACTCCTTCTCATTTTTTATTAGTCATTAAAAAGTTACAAATCAATCTAGATATAAATTAAGGTAAATCTATCCCTAATTAATCTAGACGTTACAAATTAAGATGGTTGACAAAATTTAATTTTAATTTAATTTAGATATAAAGTTAGGTAAATTTGAAAATACCGTTTATATAATTTGAAACTAATTAAAAAATTTATTTACTTTATATTATCAACTGATTTATAAAAGTAAGAGAATAAATTAATTAACCTTTAACCCTATAATAGTAAAATGTGCAAATTAATTAAGAACAGAGCGAGTATTTTATATGGAAAATTTATTTGTTTTTCTATATTATGATAATTACGATTGAAATATACTAGACCATTTTTTTTGAAATTTCCATATTTTTATGATTAATAATAAATTGTATACGTTTTCAGATGTTATTCATTTTAATTTTTTAATATATAATTAGACAAATCTATGACTCTTAAACTCTGTATACAATTTGATTTTTCAAATACTGGAGTATAATATTTCCTATTAAGATTATATTGATTCATGCATGGGTAGTAAAAAATGTAATACTTGATAATTTGAAATTTAAAAGTACAAAAAATGTAATATTGTTTGGTGTCTAAAGGGTGAGGCGTTATTTCTCTCATAATGTTATTCATTTGGAAGTTGGAACAGTCGTAAATAACTGGTTAGTTCGGAAAAAATATATGAATCATGCTAATAAAATATCCAATAAATTTACCCATTTTTATTAAATGAACAACTTACCTTAAAATTGGCTCTAATTTAATTTCTCTTTTTCATAATTTTAAGGATAAAATTATTAACTTATCATAAATAAATCGAATTTAGTCCAATGAAATTATTATAGCAACACTTATAACTTCCATGAAATTGTTTTATTGAGATTTATATAAAGAAAAAATTAAAGTAGATCAGTCATTTTATTCTCAAGGAATGAAAGGTAAAAATTTTAATTTGGGACACTTAAGAATGTAAAGTAAAATATTTGTTTTAAGGTTGATGGAATAATATTGTTTATAAAAGAACATTTACGAGTTATTAAAATGCTGATGTGACAAGAATTGCGTCAAGTATGGATTTAGAGATCATTGTAAATGCTGTAATGGGCGAAACTGTGGAAGGCATGAGCCAAACAGGGACTAAAAGCAGCGTGCCACGTCTACCTAACCATGGTTAAACATGAGTCATATTCCGGAAGATATTTTGTGAGTGGGCCCCAAGCGTGATAATGCTTACTCCAGACAATGAGATATTTTAGGGGCCCCTCTCTCATCCCCAAACTCATTGATTGAAGGAGCATTGCTCTCAATTTAATTTTTTAAAAACATTGTCTGGAATGTTTTTAAATTTACGCTATTTTTAAAAATTATTTTACGTTTCATTCTAATGCATAATAAACTTAATTTTACAAAAATTACAAAATTTTGGGTCGATGTTAAGTTCTTAACAGATGCTTAACGGAAAATTACTTATTCTACGCAACAAAATGATAGTTCGAATTATTTTTGATGAATTTTGTTTGAACTTTTTTTTCTTTAAATTCTCAAAATGACTTTTTACTTCCATCTTTTCTTTTTTAAAGACTAGTTACATCAGTAAAATAAAAAAAATATAAAAAATAATGTAAATTAGAAAACAACGAAGCCTATACAAAATTAATTAAATAAATAAGGTAATCTATAAAAACTAATTTCGAACTGGTAAAAGAAATGAAGAAATACATGATAATGATTTCTAATATTTTACGCACTTTACGGAGTACTAACATTTTACGTATTCATGTTGGTCAAATATGGAAATAAAAATAATTATTTTCTTATCAATATTCTTTAAAAAATTCTTATTAAGAAAAACTAAAATGAAATTACGTTGAGGGAAAAAAATTCTATTTTTTATTTTTATTTCCATTTTTAGGGTTTTAATAAGATTTTTTATTAGAACAAACAATTCTGTATATTTCTAGTTTTATTCTTTATCAGTTTCAGTTTAGTTTTTAATTCGGATTATTTTCCTCCTATTTCATTAATTTTGTATGATTTTAATTAATTTTAACTTTTTATTTGTTTTTTATTTGTATTTTTATTTTATCTGATGTGAGACTAAGCTTTCAAAAAAGGAATAAAATGAAGGAGGTAGAAGACCATTTAAAATTTAAGAGAAATAAAAAACAAAACAAAAATTTAAAAAAAAAATCTCGACTTCCATTTTATTGCACAAAACAAGTCTCGTTAACAAGCCGTTAACAATTTAACGGCGACCCACAACTCACAAGTTTAAGTAAAGTTGAAATTATTATGCATCACAATAGAATGTGTTACTTTTTTTTGAAAAAACATGTAAAGTTGCGATTATTTTGAATAATTTTTCCTTAATTGAATTTACTTACTTTTAATTACAAGGATTAAAAAGATGTTAAAAAATAATCCTAATGGATGATAAATAATGATAAATTAGTATTTATTAAAAGAGAAAATTATTTTACATTTTAAAATTTTCTTAAAAGAGGAGTAATAGTGATGAAATATATTCGGACAAATGAAAAAGAATCTTGAGAAACAAAATGTGAGACAAAAGAGCAAAATTTAAGCATTTGATCGTACAATTACTTTCTTAAAATTTAAATAATGCAAAAAAACATATATAAAGAAAATGAGGAAATTATATGAAAATCAAGAAAAATAATGTGATTTCTGGGCAAGTGCAACGAAAGAGTTCATATTTAAAGTACAACAGAGTAATTATCATTGCGTATGAGATTGTGATGATGTTTATTACTCTCATCGTTTAAAAAATTGTTACATTGCGTAAAACAAAATTTTAAATTTTTAAAATTTATTTTATTTAAAAATGTTATAAAAAATAAAAATAAAACTATGTTAAAAATCTTACAAAATAGGAGGTGGTTTGAACATTTTATTTTATCAAATAATCAATAAAAATTTAAAAATAAAATAATTCTCGATATATTTGAATAGTAAAGTATGACATTCTTTTTAGAACAATGAAAAATACATGTGTGGAATTAAAAAGTTAATATAAAACCAAGAGTGAATCTTTTAAAATTAAGAAAAAGGAAACTAATAATGATTAAAAATCTATGATATATAAAAAAATATTAAATAAAATACCTCCCGTCCCAAATAGATATTTCTATTTCATTTTTTATATATCTCAAAAAATATTTCTATTCCCGTCTATAATATCTAAGATTCACACCATTTCTCTTTTATTACGAGTAGAATTAATTTTGATGATATTTTAGACATTCGAGTTACAAAAAAATGAAATATGAATATCTTTTAGAGATAAAGGTAGTAGAATGAAACTAAATAATGGAATCCCTAAATATGAAGAAAAAAAAGGTTCCACCGAGACTTGAACTCGGGTTACTGGATTCAGAGTCCAATGTCCTGACCACTAGACCATGGAACCATTGTTGGGATCTTTTGGAAACAGCCGATATTATTGCTTCAACAGGCAATTAACTCATCATTCAATACAATTTCATTGAAAGCATAAAAATGCATCCCGCATGACAACTAATGCTAACCCAGGTTACCCAGCCATCATAATTGAGTTGTAAAAGAAAGAAAATAGAGTACTTCGGTCCCGTTTGGTACATGAAATTCAAATTATGGAATTGGAGACTTCAATTCCAATTCTTATGTTTGGTAGCACAAAAATTATGTGGATTTGGAATTGATAGTGCAAAAAATGAATTGAAATTAACAGAATTCAATTCTATGGAATTGAATCTCATGAAATTTCAATTCCAATTCCACCAATTCCTTATACCAAACGGACCCTTCATGAATTTGTGACTCGCATGTTTTCGTTTTTTAATTAAAAAGGGAAATTATGCATTATTTTTAGACAAATACAAAAAAAAAGAAATATTTTATTATAAAATGGAGTGAATGAAAACAAAGTGGTGGTCGCATAGAACGAAAAGAACTACTTGCCAAGATATTCGAGCTTGCCTGCCTGGATTATTCATTGAACCTCTAATACTTACTTATGTTTGGTTAATTACAGTTTCGTAAATTGTTAAAGAATATTCAACATCGGAATTTGTAGGAAAAATAAACTGGCATACAAGCTTTTTGAGTTGAACTATGTAATAGATTAGATTCAAATTTTTAATATGGTTCAACCTAAGTGTCTTATTGTCCAATCTAATTATGCTTATCTGATTCTAAATTTTATCATGGTATCCAATCCAGGTCACTAAAATTCTCAATTGATTGGTTGATCAGCACTGAGCAGCCCGCCGCTGCTGTTAAGGTATCCACTGCATTTGTTGAGGTATCTATCTAGAAGCCCATTTGTCTTTAGCTCAATTGTCCATATGAAAAACGACTTGCAGCCCATATAACCCAATTGTTCATCTGAAAAAATCTATAACTAGCGATTCATGGCTCTTTAGATGTTCTCACTTTTGATCTTTTCATTTCCTATGGAGGGAGAGCCATTTACAAGTGGTCAATCAATTAAATTTAAAATGGTCTGATTCTTCAATTGAGGAAAAAGTGTTAAAGAGTATCTCATGTCGGAATTCGTAGAGAAAATTAATCCGTATATAAGCTCTTGAGCTAACGTTAATAATAGATTGGATTCAATCTTCTAATGTGATTCAATCCAAGTATCTTATTATCCAATGATAAACAAACTTTAAAAATTGGTTCGTTTAGAAATGAGAAATGCCTCTATATGTTACTCTATTAAGTTTGCAATTCAATGAAATGATAACGAACCACTCCGTACGAAAAAGTCGATTTACCAATATCCATTCCAAAGATTTTTATATCGACTTTCTCTTTCATCATCACTTAATGCTCAAGCCCCCTTTCAAACCTCATAAAATATACTCCGTATTTTACTCACATCCACCCACATACGGAACTACGTGGCGCCCCATCAACTCTTGTCAAATCCCGCCATAACACATGACCTAAGAAAATTGAAGCCTGATAAAGATTCAATCTGGGTTCTTGAACTCGATTCTAGATTCATAGGTTCTGGTTCAAGAACAAGAAAGGGCACAAACCCCAATTTACATAATGATTCAATTACTTTCACCACAGAGACAAACATTCAAATGTGGATCCATATCATATCTATTGTATGCACAATAAAAAAACAAACATGACAAAATAGTTTAATTAAATTCACTGAGAAAAATGATCATATTCAAATAATAGTTAAATCCAATGTAAGCAAGTCACTGATCAAAATCAATCTGCAAGGACTGAGCAGCAATGGGACTAGGTTTTTTGAGAGAAATTCTAGAAATAAATATATGAAATATATGAGAAGATTTATATTCTATCCTACTCTCTCAATCTACTACTCCATCAAACAAAGTGAGAACAAATTCAACTGTGGTGAGACAGATGAGAGCCATTTACTCGAGTCCGAGGCAGCATATTGGATTTTTCTTGATGAGACTAAGATCCACCTGCAAGAGCAAAAGGGGATAAATGCATGGTAGATTAAAATTTCAAAATGTGGTTGGTTCCCGACCGGTTCTGAATCGGAAACATGTCCACCCTTAATCCTTATTATTGGGGGGGGGGGGTGAACCCCCACGGCCCCACAATGGAGCCCCGAGACATAGGGACACCATGGGGGCAAAGGCATGGTACACTAGCTGATATGAATGTAAAGAATTGTACCTTATGGCCAAAGAGTTCTCTAATGTTGTCAATGCCATAAAGTATCATGGTTGGCCTGGGAAAGGACAACAAAAAGAAAAAAGTTTGATTACAGACATATTTTTTAACGATAAAAATGATGATATAAAAAGTACCACATTAGGCGTCAAACAATAACAAACCCAGTAAAATCCCACAAAAAGTATGGTCTAGGAGCGTGTGTACTAAGACCATATATTACCCCAACTCGAAAGTAAATAGACTGTTTGTAAGAGACACCTGGCTCAAATACATTAGGCAAGAAACAAAGGATGATATAAAACAGACGATATAGCTTGCAACTTGTTAGAAAAATATTAACCTTTCAAGGGAAAGGCCCCAAGCAATAACCCGGACATCATCTGGAAGCCCCATGGGACGCAGCATTTCAGGCCTAAACATGCCAGAATTTCCAACTTCCACCCATTTCTTGAACCCTTCATGGTAACTGAAGATCATAGCGTATCAGAATAACACATCATCAAGCGGTAAAATTTTCATCCAAAGTTAGATTTTTACCCAGTCTAATACCTGAATATTTCCATGCTGGGTTCAGTATATGGATTATAAGCAGGTTTGAACCGAAGCTTGGACATCCCTGCAAGCAGTCAAATTATCCACCAGTCTTGGGAGTGATATGAGAATTGAATCAATTGATGCGTGTAAAATATGCAAGAGAATGAATATTTCCTGATGATAATTAAGACTTACTGCAACGTATTTATAGGAGTATAGTTACTCCTAAGTCTCATGACTCAATATAATGAGATCACAGAGATGACATCATCTATTCACAAAGAAAAGGGATGGCTATGATACTATGTAAACTATGTTGAAAAGAACGATTATTTCCGGGTAATAACTAAGAAGTAATACAAAATACTTATAGGACAAGTGCTACTCCTGAGTCTCTAAATCAATCTAATGATATCACAAAGATGACATCATAAGGATGATGTCATACATCTGGAATCTTCTTACTTTTACTGATATTCGCCACATTGCTAATAAACAAAGTTTGGGTGTAAAAGAAGGTGTTCAGGTAAAGGTTACCTAGGCGGGAGAAGAAATCATTAAGAACCCCGAGCAAGTCACCAAGACTGAGACCACGATCACATACTAAACCTGTAAACAAAAAAATGTATTATACAGAGTGAGAAACATACGCATGAATGAATGGAATACACGAAACAATATAAACAGATATTAAATTTTTGTAATAGTATTGTTGTCAATAATTCTGGACCTTCTATCTGATGGAACTCAGCAAGATGTGTGCGGTCAACAGCTTCATTTCTGAATACACGATCAATAGAATAGTATTTCTTGGGAGCAAACGGTTTGTTCTACAAATAAAAGCACCTCAAATGTTATCAGAAATTACAGATACTTATCTGAAGTCTGATCTGAAGAAATGTGCAATATGCTTAGAAAATGCGCAATATGCTAAAATTGTTTTCATATCCAAAGAAAAGTCCTAAGGATTAGCATGGAAATTCAGAAATTAATCGTGTATTTGGTGGGAGGGTAGGGGTGGGGATTTTGAAGGGAGGCGAGATTCATTTTTCCTTTTTACTTAATTTATCTTTATTTGCTAGTTTAAATAACTACTTCCACCGTCCAACTGGTTTTTTCCATCTTTCATTTTTTGTCTATCCCTAAATATTTTTCATTTTCCTTTTACGAAGAAATTCGTGATCCGTATTTTTCTTCTTTTAAATAAACCTCAACTAGCAGTAGTATGTGCCCATAATAGATTCTTGGCACTTGAAATTCCTAATAGACACTCTTCTAATTTCTTAATCTATGTCCCAACGGCACTTGGAAAATTGCAATGGGACAGACAATATATGGTTAATCAGTTAGTTAAATCATGTATTCCAATACTCCGTATTATTTTTCAATTTTCATCTCCATTTTCTTTACACCACCTAAACGCAAGAATAAATAATAAAATAATCCTCCCCTCCGAAATCCTCCAATGAAACAAGCCAATAAGGGAGAATGTATTCATATGCCAAAGATTACATATAATAGCGAACTGTGAGATTTGAAATCTATAATATCTCAAGGCTTGTTTGGTTGGTGGATACCAGAGGAGAGGGAGCCGGGAAGGAGTGGTGATATTTCTTTATTGATTCATTCTTATATTTCGATGGTTGGAAACAATGGAAAGAAAGTGAAGATGGAAATTCATATAGAATCCCAGGATTTAACTGAAGATATATTTATTTTCTACTGAATATTACTCTGTAACAAACAAAAAGAGATGCTCCCATCCCCTCCAAAAGCCTCCAATCAAACAAGCCCTAAGAGAGAACAAACCTGTGCCAGCTTATACAGCATTCTCGATGACACAGCAGTAGTATGTGTCCGTAATAGATTCTTGTTTGCTTCGTCTCTTTTCCATTCATATCCATATCTATTAAGGCAGAATATCTTTTAACATGCCATCTGAAGTACGTAGTATTACTAGTATAACAATTTTGTGTGGACAATTAGCATACTAAATTGCTTATTAGTATTAATTAATTATATTACATACCCACGAGATCCATAGCCACCAGATTCATGAACATTCTTAACTAGTTCAACATAATCTTCAGGGAGCTCCCTTGTAGTGGAAGGCACTATATAATCACAATTGAAAGTTGACTATAACTGCCAAATATAAATCAGGTGCAACAACCACAAATAAATTGAAGCAATGCAAACCTTTCAGAAAGAAAGTGTCGTGTGAATCGCGAGCAGGGTGTTGTTGCGGTTGGAAAAGGGCATCAAAATTCCAAAAGCTGTTAAAAATCAAAGGAACTTAGTTTGCTTATAGTTGACTTGTTTGAAAGAGTTTTAAATAGAAAGATAAAAACAAAATATATAAATGTTTTCTTGGAACTTTTTCATCTTACTCGCTTTTCTAAGGTTATAGAACATGTACTGCAAACACTACCTGAATCAGGCATATGATGTAGCATGTAAAGAATTAGATGAAATTTTGACATCTGCGTGTAGGAATACACTGATGTAGACATGTAGTATAGAAGTTTGTGATAATTAATTAAGTTGACTAAATGCAAAAGGGATATATACTGCACACTATCATTAACGAAACTAAATGTGACAAAAACATTTACCCTCTACTTTGCAAGAAAATGTACAAGGACCACCTCATGGCAATATTAAAAAAATCACCTTGTCCCATAAAAAAGGACCTATTTCAAAATATATTTTGTCAAGGGGAAGAGTTTGAAATTACTCAATTGCCCTCATTAGATTCATATGGAGTAAGTTATTCTACTAACTTTCTTTTCCTTCTTTCTCATTTTGCTTTCATCCAAAAGGGATATATACTGCAAACTAACATTAAAGAAAATAAATGTGACAAAAGCATTTACCCACTACTTTGCAAGAAAATGTACAAGGACCAACTCATGGCCATTTAAAAAAAATACTTCGTCGCAAAAAAGGGACCAGTTTCAAAATATATTTTTATCCCCCCCCCCAAATCTATTTCAATTATAAAAGTTAGTTTTCAGTGTTTTATGTGAATTTCCCAAAAAAAAGCTCCAAAAATCTATGTAGATGTAGAAGTAACTGATAGAATATTGAATGGGGTAGGAATCACTGGACTGGGCCATAAGACACTTGGTCGAACCACATTAAAAGATTGAATCCAATCTATTACTTAGTTCAACTCAGGAGCTTAGATAACAATTTATTTTCTCTTCAAGTTCCGATGTGGGATACTCTTTTACAGTAACAAATTACTAGAGTTGTACCTTACCAAAACTAAAAGTTGTACTTTGATGAAAAATGAATCATTTTTCTTTTGCGGGTGAGGGAGTACAAGTTTTGGTCAAAGTGTCTCCCTATGAGTTCTAGTGCTATTCATCTATTGATTCATTAGGTCGGTAATATGAACTAACGCAAAAATGCAATGAAGGTGTACACCTTTTGAAATCACGTGGTACCCAAAACCTGTCTTGCAATTATGAAAAGCCACAGTTTGATTAAAGTACTGGAACTGTGAATCAGCTACATGAGTAAGAACTAAGAATGTTCTTCTATCCACTATATCATTAATGATTTGAGTATGTGAACAAGCAAAAAAGAATTACCTACTCTCAACATAATTGTTTGTTTGCATCTCCTCAAACCTGTGCAATTAGAGAAAAGAAAAAACTTTAAGAAATTCCCAATATCAATTTATAACTTGCATGTGCTACATTTTTACAGACAAGTTGCCTGCAAAAATTCATGCATACACAAAATGTACAGGAGTGTGCATGTGGGAGTGTATGCATCTAGGTGCAGACCATACCCCATCTGAAGAAATATCATCTGAATTTGGCGCCGCACCTGCAAGAATATGGCTTATTATTTAATCGCCAATTTTTTACATGAAAATATTGCAAACAGTAGAAGCAATCAAGCAGAGGAGATAAAAATCAAGGAAAACCTTCAGCAATGGATGAAGATGGCCCCCTTCAACTGGCTGGCCTTTCGCACTGAAGTTGTACTCCTTTAGGTTCTTCCAATCGCCACTTCAAACAGAAATGCATCACCTCATTTTAGCTGAGAAACTTATTCATTTGCTACTACTATGACTTGGGATTAACCCATTAACTTGTCTCTCAAGATCATGGCTTGATGATAGCATATTCATTAGGGTTTCATCCTTACAGGTCAGCCTATAAAGAGTATCTCAATACTTTATATGTTGGTTTATATGTTTATATTTATTATATGTGAGATTTATCTCTTAACAACTACAAAGTAAATCAATGAAGTGTATATCCATTAAATTGTTGATAAAAAAGAATTGTCCATCTAATTTATCTTAAAGTGAATGTAAAATTAATGACCCAAAATGAGTTAGGCATGGCTTGAGATTTTAAGATCAATTCAAGATAAGATTTCACCATTTCCACAATGACAAGTTCAGAGTCACATAACTGGAAAATGGAAACAAAAGTTTATTAGGATATCTCAGAATTATTATTTGGGAAGAAATTAGAACTGTTGATCAATGAAAAATTCAGAAAGTGTTCTAGAAGGAAAAGAAAACCATGAGCTAAGAGATGACCAATGGTTCCTCAATGCCTTTTAGCCTAAGAAAGAAAAGAAACCTTGAAATAAACCACCACATTATCACAAACACTGCTACAAGGGTGGTGGTAATGGAAAAATTATTTATTTTGCATCTTCAGTGACTTCTACACTCAAGGATAGATTAGCGGGATCAAGACCAACTATAAAATACTAAGTTGAACACAGTGAAGGAAGGCATCCAGGTTAAAGACAACCAGCTACCTATGTAGGTTCTCCCGAGTGAGGTCAGTAGCTTCTTTTATCCTTTTGGGAGCATATTTAGGACCCTTCCTTGCCGAGTAGCCTTTCCAAGTCCTAAAATGAGAAGCGAATATGATATAAAATCAGAAAACAAGTACATATACAAAAAAATATCTTAACATGAGAAATATACATGGAAAAAAATATAGAAAAAACTAGTAATTACTGTAAGACAATCAGTTTTCTTCGTTTAAGAGCATCAATATCTTTTGAATCTAGAGTCTGCAATGGACATGGAAATTCAATTAGAGCAGACCCATAAGAAGAATAATATATATACGGAGACAGAAAACAATGAACATGAGGACAAGTGGGATAGGGCTTGGTGGGCAACTTAAAGTTGCAATCAAATCTTAGCAAGTAGAAACTCTGAAAAACACTAGGAATAAAGACTACATTTTTGAAATGAACCATTATGATGGGACCTTAAAAATGAAGAATGATGTAATTTAAGCAAGGTTTTCTTTTACATGTGTTTAAACACGTGGTCAGTCACTATTCACTACATCAAGATAAACCTTTGAAGTAATATTTCTTATTATGAAGAACACAAAATAATCTGTTACTGGGCATTATGGAATGCAAAATGAACTGTTAGCGGCAGCATTGTGTTGTGAATCCAATCACGTCTTCCATGACAAGGAATATGCAAGCACATCGACTGTCATAAATGAGTTCCAACTTATTGTCACAAAAGATGAATAAACAACCCTCAGATATGTTAGCAAAGAGGGTTCCTGCCACCTGGAGCTAATTTAATAATTTACTACTAGTTGATTGGTAACCTCTTTGTACTGTCATTGGAATCTGAATTCAATTTAATTAATTAAAAAAATCCTTAAATGTAGTTATGTACTAACTTCGCACTATCACCTTTCTCACTATGAAATAGAAATAGAATGAAGCCTGTAGAAATTTATAGTTTGAAATTATTACCTCATCATTCTGAATTTGCATAAGAAAACCCTTGACGGTGTCAGTAACATTTTGTACCTACATAGATAGAAATAGAGAGAATATATTTACAAGGTATGCATCAGGTTGCTAATCTCTTCATTTCACATTGTTTGTCGTAATTATCATTTAGTGGTCAACCTAATCCTTCCTTCACTTATTGTCGTTTAATCTTTGAATTAGATTTGGTATTTAAAAACCTTTGGTCTAGTATCTAACTTTAAATTTAATTACTATATTAAAATTAAATAGTCTATGGAAAGTCATTGTAAATATTGGGGAAGAGGGCGAAAGACTGAAAGACATCAATTACTTGCTCATTTACTCATCCGTTTCTATGACAAACAGCATAGTGGCTATGTGCTGAAAAAGAACACAAACCATGGACCTATCAGCAGACATGCCATGCAGCATTTCTATCAGTGGACTACCCAAAGACCCTAAACTATAAGAAAAGATAACCCCGAAAACACAAAATTATATAGTAGCATTTGAATTGGACATCATACCTTCCTTGACACATGGGTCTTTCCCTTTTCCACCCACTTGTTCTTCATCGCCTGTGGCCAACCGACTTTAAATGTTGCAGGGTCCATTTTTTTCTGAATTTAACACATTTTCTCATATCAAAAGAGTCCAACTTCATAATCATAGAAAAATTAAAGAAAAACTACTTGTGTCACCTGCAACTCTTCTTGTGTTATACCCTCCAAGGGTATAGCCAAAAGAAGTTGCACTTCAGGTGACCCAGCAGCAGCATATATTCTTCCCTCTTCAGTAAGCACCCACTTCTCTCTCTTGATATCCTGCACGTTTTCTCAAAAAGGATATATCTCCTTCATACTTAACTGAAAAACTATGGGATGAAAGGTCAAAACCGAAAACTAAAGAAATATGGTGTGAGCCTCATGCAAGGCATTCCCAATTTCCCATAAATATAACATTAGGCATAGACAGCTTTTTTGGTCAGATGAACCCTTTAACATCCATCGAAGTAGTAGATGAATGTCACTAGAAAAATACAAACAACAACAAAACCATTAAAATCCCTCAGGGTGATTCTAGGGGTGAATGTAGTCATGTAGGCAAACCTTACCCCTACCTGGAGAGTAGAGAGGTTGTAACTCAAAACATAGTGTTTGTAATTTGTATTATGCATAAACTAGTACACGATGACCTCAAATATCCTTGATGACATGACCTCAGAAAGGAGTTCTTGGAGACACTGTATTAGGGTTAAAGAGTCCTTGTAGGGATTGCATGTGTGGGTCGTTGGATGTGGGCCTTTTAGCCCGCTGTTGGTTTGATCTTGTTGGTTAGTTGTTGGTGGACTCTGCTTGCTTTGTTTTCTTGCTTGCTTGTGTGCTTTCTTACTAGGTTCTTTCTAACAATACTCAAACTATTTTTCCATGTGAGGCTGTTTACATTATGCCCCACTTTCCCAGGCCCTACGTCTTAGTAGGATATAATGGGTTTATTATATTTGGTTTGGTTTATTGTTTATAAAGTTGAGATCCTCATATGTACACATTCAATTGAAAAGAAATGATCACCTGTGCAATGACGAATCCAAATCCATTGAGGCTTCTGATGGCATTGACTATCTCATCATGACTGATTCCTTTTTCCTGAGAGAACTTGCCAGAGTCCAATATCTCTTCATTTTTCTCCAGAAAACCTAGTATAGCATCCTCAGCCATCTGATTTATTTACCTTGCACGTGTCTAAGAGCAGACCAGTAGCTTAGATCAAACGTTATGTAGCCAATACTGAGAGACAAAAGATAACAGTGTATCCCAAATTTAGCATTCCCCTTTAAAAATGGTCTCTTTAGAAAAAGGCCAGTATCTAAATTAAAAGAACAGCAGAAAAAAGGTCAGTGATCCTATTTGAAGGCTAATTTCACTGAAATTCATTGTTGCTGAAATAAGGGGCAGAGTGGATGAATACACAGCAAAGATACACTAATGCTTACTCCAGCCATCCCGTAATTTTGTTTCGAGTATTATTTTCTAATTTGGGCTTTCACAAAATCTTGTTCACTCTCCTTTAACAAATTTCAACCTCAACATTTGCACTTCATTAAAATTTAAAACGCGAGCCCAAGACATTAAGTCAAACCAAAAACAAAATTTTGGGACAAAATAGTATTTTCTCTTGCCTCTAGATGACAATAAGGTAGTATTGTATCATTGGTGGCCCTAAGAGCATCATAGAAGTACAGCCGCACAGGACCCCCAAAATTCAGGGGCCCAAGAGAATATTCAATAAGTATTCCATATTCACTTCAAATATGTGTTGGTTATGCAATACATTAGTAAAAGAACGCATGTATGTTTTTCCTTTCATTTATCAAATTTCCTTTGAATTTGTGACAATTATTCTTCATCACAAAAAAGTACAATATTACAGAGTGGTTTACTAGAGTTTAACAATTAACATCATCGCAAACTAATAGAAGTGCGGTAAAATATATTTCTGAAGACCTAGAGAGTAGAGATAACCTAATTTTCATTTTTGCAAACCTCAAAAAATTTTGAACCCGTCCTACAATGTATTACTCCAAAATGATAACTGCTACTAGTATATAATTTTGACAAAGAATAATAAGGAAAGCATAACAGAGTGTCGATACATTCATAGATCATATGTACAGAAGGCAGTAATATGCGGAACGGATGAAAACCGAAATAACCGATCAAAAAACCGAATGGTTTCGGACAGTTTTTAAAAGCCGAAAGTCACAAAAAATAATTTCGATTACTAAAAGGCAATTTGGGGGGCTAGGGAGGTCACCTGCAAGTCTACAATTGCAGATTTAACACTCCAATTCAAGATGTTAACTCTTAAAGACTTAAACTGCTCCAATCGCCAATTGCTTCAATTTAGTAAGACTTAAAGCGAAATGCTCCAATTGCTCGAATTGCAGATTTAACACACCTACTAACTTTAACACTCCAATTTCAGATTTAAAGTAAGCTTAAACTGCTAAACTAGAATCCTATTTTTGAAATGCAATACGCATAGATTATTGAACAACAAATTCGTGTTCTAGGATAAACATATGAAATCTGCGGACCAAATCATCGAGAATGAAATAATTGCTTTCTATTTTTTCTATCAATCTGCGGAACTAATCGATAGATGGGGATGGTACCTTACTGGCGTAGTCGGCGAACTGGTGAAGTCCGGCAAGTTGCAGAGCGCAAGAAGAACTGTAGCAGAATCGGAGAAGAGAACATGATTCTGAAGACATGGTTTTGTACTGGGCTTATTTGGATTGGGCTTAAAATTTACATGCAATAACTGAATATATATTGGACTTGGTTTTCCTGTTAATTTTCTATAAATCAAAAGCCTGAAACCGAAGACCGACGGTCAACGGAATAAACCGGTTTTCAAATGGTTAATCGAAACCAAGAACAAATTTTCGTTTATTTCAATTTTTGGTCAACAATTTCACGGTCGGTTCGGGTAACTTGCTCACTCATTGCTCTGGTTGTGTTCTGATCTTTTATTCAATTCGACAAAAAAGATTTCAGAGTAGTCTGGGGGGGCTGAAGGACTCGTAGTAGAAGAAGGAGAAACGAAAAATATTACTCCTTACTACTTGGTAGACCAATTGATTGCAAAAAAAAATAAATCATAATTCTACCTTAAATATGTTTTTATTTTGATATTTGATTAAGTTATTTTAATTTTAATTTATTTGATGGTGTAAAATTAACACATACATACACACACACACACACACACATATATATATTTAAAATTAAGTTAGAAATTCTAGGAAAAGGGAGGTGATATAGTTGTACAAAATATTATTTTACCAAACAAGCAAAAAAATAGCCAAAGAAAGTAAATAAATTTGATCATGTGAATAGTAAAAAACAATGTTAATTGGGACAAAAGGATTAAAATTTAGGATGATATTTTCTTAGAAAAATTTGATCATAAACCTAAAGCCTTTCCATGTGGACATTCTCACTCAAATTTGCTTCCCCTCATATTATATGAGAAGCCATTGAAAATAGTTAATTTTAGGGGTGGGTTTGGTTTTAACCGTTCAGTTTTTACCTAAAACCAAAGACAGAACAGAAGGCATATTGGCGGTACGGTTCGGTTCGGTTTTGTATAAAAAAGAGAAAACCAATCGTTATATGGTTCGGTTTTTAGCGGTTTAAATATCAGTTTTTTTCAATTCTTTCGGTTTTTAAAAAAAATTAATTTAAAAGTAAAATAATATTTTGGGTAGAGACCTATTATTATATAGATATGCCAAACAATTAGTAGAGAGTAAAGTTTGAAAAACCTACAAGTAAAACAATAAATAAACTACAATTACAAGTGAAAAATGGGAGAAATGCAGTAATTTGCAGTCAAAAACTGTAAAAATGCAGTAAAAAACTGGAAGAAATGCAGTAATTGCAGTAAAAAATGCAGAAAACTGCAGTAAAAAATTGCAGCAAAAATGCAGTAAACTGGAAGAAATGCAGTAAAAATGCAGTAAAAAACTGTAAGTATGAAGAATGCCGCTTCATACTTTCTATTCCCTATAATAAACATATGATCAAAGATACTGTTTTTATCCAAGAAACAACAAGAAGCAGAAATGAGGATATTTTGCTATTTGTGCATTTCAAGGATACCCGAAGCATATCCAAAACATTTGCTGGAAAATTACCCAAACATTAAAAAAATATTAAAGCACAAATGCTTCATACCCAAACATTTGCTAGAAAAAAAATAAAAAACATATGCTTCATACCCGGACATTTGCTGGAAAATTACCCAAACATTTGCTAGAATGACTTGATAAAAAAAATTAAAGAACATATGCTTCATACCTTCTGCGACTGAAGAAGAAACTAGCGATTGAGGAGTCTGATTCAGGATTGTGGCGACTAGTTGCCCGCCAGGGATTGTGGCGAACTGGCGAGTTGGCGAGTAGGACTGCGATTGACTCTGATTCACTTCCGATTGTGGCGAGTTGGACTGCGGGTGTGGCGAACTGGCGAGTTGGATGTTGGAGACTTGGAGCACAGCGAAGAAGATTGGAGATCTGCAGCGAGGAAGATTGCCGTCTCTGCGATGGAGTCTGGCTTGACTACGGGTAATGGCGTAAACCTAAAACACAAAATTGCTAAAAGCCTAAAACTAATTAAACAGTTCCCTTCGATTTTAGACAGCCAAAACCCCAGCCAAAACGGAATGCAATCGGTTCGGTTCGGTTTTTTGAATTCGGTTCCGGTTTTTGCGGTGCGATTTTTTTTTGGTATTGTTCGATTAATTTCGGCTTGGTTTTCCGTTTTTCGGACCTAGCCCTAGTTAATTTTCGTGTTCAAGAAAGTTTTTTGTTTATTTAAAAGCTGACTATATTTCAAATGCTCTCTAATTTTGGTTTAAAAAAAACTCAAATGCTCCCAAACACAACTTTTCACAAAAGAGCTGGTAATACTATTTTATATTTTTATCCTCGCACAATTATGCTGTTTAAAAATGTCCAAAATTAAATTGTTAGTTGCACAAAAGTTTGCCTATTTTGTCTTTTCAAGTCGCCATTATGTGTTTGTCTACACTTTCTATTTACAAAATAGTTCTTTTGACAGTGGGTGTGGGCAGGGCATGTAGGGGGCAGGGGTAGGGTTTAGGGGGTTAGGAACCATCAGTTTTACGAACGGAGCACTGTAGGGGCCTCGGATCATAATATGACCCGAGGTTCAAGGGTCAAAAGATCCTTGCCGATGGCATTTTGAAATTATTCATACTTCAATGAGTTAGTACTCCATAATCCAAATTTCCAATCATCATTAAACAGGGAGAATCCAATTTGAATTTCTTCAAAACTGATTAGGTTCTAATATTGTTGTTAAGTACCAAATATAAACATTCAGCACCTAGTTATAAACCCCTCTTTTAAATTTTAAAGGTGTGGGCATACAATGAACTAGGAGTACAAATGAGTCCATGAAATGTCTAAGACAAAGCATTATTGCCACAAAGAGCAATAAGAGAAGAAGATAGCAGAACAGAGGAAGGACAAACAAACAAATCCCTTTATTTGATATCACAAATGCTCATTTGGCCAAGTGAAAATCAGAGTTTGCCGGGTTTGCAGCAAGCACCAAGAGGATCAACGGTAGAGACTTTCAGATCTCAGGTTCTCTGCAATCTCAGTTTCCCAGCGATCACCATTCTCAAGCAGCTTCTCCTTGTCGTAAAGAAGTTCCTAAAAAACAAGGAAACAACATGTGTGGGTCGTCATTTGCTGCTCAACAAATGTGACATGTAAGAAGAAGAAAAAACTGTCTTTGCAAAAGAATTCTTCTTCTTATGGGAAGAAAAAACTGTCTTTGCAAAAGAATCGAATACCCTTGATTCATATTCGTATTCGCTAAGGATTCAAATATTTATTCAGATTCGCATTCATATTCGGATTTGAAAAAATCAAATACAAATCACCTCATACGAATACGAATCATGAATCGAACAAAAAATATTCGATTCATTTACAAACCCGATCATACAGGCTCCTCATACCCCAATTTTACTTTTTGTGGGATTTTACTGGTTTGTTTGTTGTTGTATGGCACCTCATCATTACAAACATGATTTAAGAAGATTTACCTTCAGTGGAACATTTTTTGATGTTTTTGGTGTAAGTGCGTTCTTGTAAAACATGGGTTGAACCTATAAGCCTTATGAAAATTCCCCACTAAACATTTTCCAGGTTCCAAAAAGGCCCTTGAGGAAAAGAAATTGAACCAACCTCATGAGTCTCAGTAGCGAATTCGAAGTTGGGCCCTTCAACAATGGCATCAACCGGGCATGCCTCCTGGCAAAATCCACAGTAGATGCATTTCGTCATGTCAATATCATACCTGTCATATCCAATTCAAACGTGAGATAACCGTTGCACTAGAGAGAGAGAGAGGGAGAGAGAAATTGAGATAGGAAAGCATACCTGGTGGTTCGGCGACTTCCATCTTCTCGCTCCTCAGCCTCAATGGTGATAGCTTGAGCTGGGCAAATCTGAGAAAGCCACATCAATCAATTGCACAACATGAGTTTAAGGGCAAAGACAAGTTATAATAATCAAAGTATGTTGTAATATCGCTTAACATAACACTTACTGCTTCACAGAGCTTGCAGGCAATACAACGTTCCTCTCCTGTTGGATAACGTCTGAGGGCATGTTCTCCACGAAAACGGGGGCTTAGAGGACCCTTCTCAAATGGATAGTTGATCTGCATGTTTCACATACTTATTACTAGATGATTCTCTCTATAGAGCTTTAAACTGGGTGAAACCACTCCTGGTTTAATGGTAGGACCAGTCAACTTCTTTCAAATAAATATGGGATCTTAATATTGTTATTCTCTTGTTTTATTGTGCTTTGATAATTTGATATGAAGTGTAATAAAATGATATCGTGATTGATGGTTCTTTTAAATAATTATGGGATATATTCGATCAGTATCCTGTTTTTCATATGGACAACACACAGTCCCCCCTGTCCCAAAAAGAATTTCTTGTTCACTATTTACACTGTCGGACTTTAAACACTTTCTTTGTCAATTTTCATTATTCATTTAATAAAATAATACAGTCTTGTCAATCTAGTTTTGTAGAACTTTTGATGTAGTTTTAAAATATTACGTATACATTTTATTTTTAAATTTTGCCTCAATTTTCAAATAAATTAAAATGAAAATAACTTTGGTCAAACATCGTAATCAGCAATAGAAAATTCTTTTCGAAGCGGAGGGAGTACATGAAATTGTATTAATTTACTCCCAACGGTGTTTAGATTTTAATCTACTTATTAGTATGATATTCTCGTACTTAGATATGCTTTGCCTCATAATAACTGACTATACTAAACACAAAAACCCACAAGTGTGGCACGCCGCACGTATGGTGATTCCTATACAGCCTATCTAGCCGAACCGCAGACAAAAAGTAAGTGCTTATGAACAAAAAGTAAACAATTAAAGCAAAATATAACATTGAGTTACAGATACATTTTTATCAAACAGTGACTTACAGTGACATTCTTATCAAAGAAGTACTTGAGTGTTAGCATCATACCCCGGACCATTTCAGTCAGAAATAGTGTATTGATGCTCCTCTCAAAAACTGCATTTAGTTGAAAAGGATGATGAATTCATAATAATTTCATACAAAGGAATATCGAAGAAAAGCAAGTTAAAGTAAGCTGTGGTAGAGAGGATTCTACCAGAATTCCAATCTTTAGACAAATCTCTTGCAAGCTTCTCTCTCTCTATGTCATCTACAACACACAAATATCAATAATTGTTAGCAATGCATCTGAGCCACGCATACTGAATTAATAAACATTTATCCCAAATGGAACGGTAAAGTGTAAGACTGTAAGTAACATATGGCCTTCATTTTTATTAGTTAGCTTTAAGTGGAAATGTAAAGAACTCAAGGTTAACCAATTAAGAGCACAGCAGAAACCATTACCAGTAGAAAATGGATTCTTTGTAGCAAATGATCGTGTGGCATGCATGGATCCATAATGGTTAGAGCCTTGTAATGCTTGTCCTGCAAGAACCTATACTCACCAATAGACAAATTAAAGAAATATAGATCAATGTTCTGGAAATGTATAACTGATACTAAGTACAACATAGCAGCCTACAAAGTTGTCTAGCAACTAAAGCACATTCAAATTCACGCAAAGGGTACCGCAAAAATTGAAATATAACTCATAAAACCCTTATGGAGCAACCCTAGGTAAACACTATTCAATCCTTCTTTTCACAGACCATCCTATTTCTTTCCTTTTTTAAAATCCATATTTCCACTCCTTTTTTTACTTCAAATAGCAAACAAACACTATCTAATTTTCTTACCCTGTAGCCTGGCACAATGGAAAATGATTGTTAATGCCAAAACGAAGTCGTGAGTTCCAGACCCTACTTCCGCAATAGATGGGAATATGAGATCCCTCTGGGACTACAGTGTGGTGCCATGACATGGGCTCGGGAAAGGGGTTCCATCAAAAATATTTAACATCTATACTTGCCCGGATTAGTCTCGTGTGGGGGTGGGGAGGGGTGGGGTGGGGGATACCGGGTACGAAGCAAAAGAACACACTTTTTTATCTCCAAGTGCACAAGTACTACAAATCAGAGTTTTTATCCTATCTTGTAAACCAACTCAGTTGAACAATCACAACGCAATGCCACAAACTGGCCCATATCCATAGGTCTTATTTCAAATCCATCCCTGGGAAAGCATAAATTTCTAGCCTGATTCTAGCAACTTTGTTAAGCAAATAAACAGCCCAATTTTGTATAACACAAATGAAGAACAACAATAACCCCGGCATAATCCCAACTCCCATGGTGTGTAGGGGGTCAAAATGTAAGCAACCTTACTCTTGTAAAAAACTCAGAGAGGCTATTTCCGTTAGACGCATGATGCATTATTGCATTTACTTCACAAAACTTCATAGCAAGTAAGCAGCAAGGGAAATAGTTTGATGTGTCATTTTGATCTAGTCCATTATTTACCTTAAGCTAAAACATCATTAGCATGACTCCTTACTTTCCATGCCACAAGTCATCAAAGCAAAATACCCAATTGAATTATTAGGTTCGGCCTGCTAATCTAAGACTTCATTCAAACAATCTGAAAACGGATGAATTAGAACCGCCGGAAAATTCATGTCCAGAAAGAAATTATGGCCTTTTTAGAGGTTCTCAGAAACGGGGAAAAGGCAGAAAAAAAGTGTAAAACACGATTCACAGTCATAGAAGTGCAAAAAGTGCAGATTGGGGAGAAAGGAGACATGAAGGAGAGCTTACAATCTGACGAGAACGAAGGGATTGCATCGATTTACGAGCTAAGATGAAGGCCATCGGTGCTCCGGCGACTTAAAGATGCTCAATTCTCAGGTGGAGCCGAGGAGATCGGAAAAGGAGTGTGGAAAATGTAAGCAAGCAATTCGGGTGGCTGAAATGAGTCGGTTCGGGTCGTGAAATGTTTTCGGAAGAAAAAATCCATCCCAAACTAATTGTAAAGTCTATTAAGAATAGAATTTGATAAAACAAAAAATGCAAGATGTGATGGATAGATTATTAGAGAAAAAATATGATGTGATACGTAGGGTA